TACGTGTATATATATATATATATATATATATATATATATGTGTGTGTGTGTGTATATCTTTTCCTACAATTATCCCGTAGAAAAGTGGACACGTTTGTATGTATATTAAGTAATTGTATGCTCTTTGCCGTCCAAACATTATGTCCTTAGCATAATAAAGTGTATCTCTCTCTTGCACCTAAGGTAAAAAACCCATCGCCACTAACAAATCAAACTTTTCTTGAATTTGAAGTATGTTATACATTACATTTTTATGTCATCGAACATTTTTGGAGGGTAAAGTACAAGTACTAGTTTTTGAAGTATTTGAGAATAAAATATGTTTTTTAACATGGGCTGTGATAAGGTACAGCAATAACAGCTTTAAACACATACGTAACAAATCAAACTATTTTTATAAAAAATAGAGTACGAATCTTCCAAGTTTTTACTTTATTTTAGTCCTTTCAAATCATGGTGGTTTGGTACGAAAAGAAAATCAGTTTATTAATTAATATTTTCCCATTACGAACAGTATAACCTATAAGACTGTCATCATACGATAGAGGATGCACTTCACTCGCTTGATCAACTCGGTCCACGGATTGTCTGCCTTAACCTTTACTTTCTCCCACTTCTCTGTCAATTTACACAAATCGATACCCTCTCTCATACTGACAAAGTGACGAAAAAAAAAGGTCGCACAACCCTTGTATCTTACAATCTCCTTACTTTCCATCCCCCGTATATTTCTATCAAGTTATGACATAAAAAGTAGTAAAATTACCAAATTTATGGTACAAAATATTTAATAATAAATTTAGTTAAATCAAAACAACTTTAGCGGAGGATTGTTTTGGCAAGTTGCATATACTTCAAAATTTAGAAATTCAAAGTGATCAGTGATCCGTTAGGGGCGAAGTGTGAGAAAATAAATAAATACAAGTAAAGTGTATTTAAATTTTCTTGCGTTGATTTATTAATGCGCAACGTTTCGCTGACAATATGCGTCAGCCTCATCAGGCTACAAAATTAAAATTAATAACACACAATGAGTGATTTGGAAGGCTCAAACACAAAGTACAATAAATTTTTATGTAAATTGTTACCGCAGGTACGCGAGAATTCGTAAGTTTGGTTGACTTACTCGTCACCTGTCGTGCTATCGACTGACAATAAATTACAACAACAAGCCAGCGCTTATATAGGCGGAGCCGCAAAGGTAGACGGTAAAGGGCGATGAACTCGATCGGGACATTTAAACTTTCGTAGTAAAGGAAGGTATGCTCTATTAAAGGAAAGCACATCCTCCTTTCTATTGATGTTGTGTTTGTCGAGTTTTATATAAAGCATTTCGGAAATAATTCTTTTTTTGTAATTGGATTCTTTGT